TGCTGCAGGTGTAGCTGTAGTGATAAAAAACGAGATATACTTTTACCGAAATTGTAAGCCCTATCATAAATATTCAATTCAGTCGACGACAATAAGAGATACCGAAGAATGTAAAATATGGCAGGAGTGCGAAGATGCATTCGATCTGTTGAAACGTTTGCAAGTGTTATCGTCGACCATAGGATTTGTGAGTCTTTCGACAACGTCACAGCAAATGTTATGCTTAAACGAGTGTCATATCAACGAATATTTTGAGAAGTACAGAAAAAGTAATCTAGTCAAACAGGCAAGTATTACCTACATTATTCATTAACTAAAATAACTTCTTCCGTGACGCCCGCTGTTGATAATACTGTGAATGTATAAATGTTTAGCACACCATAACGTGTGTTACGGAGTTGAAAAGGAATATGAGTGATATACACGGGGTCAGTTGTCTGGTAATAGCAACCACCGACATGATCAGYATACTCGATACTGAATCGTTTAAAATTCTACCCGATAAATATGAGGTAATATTATTTGAAAATATATTATCATTATGTTTTAGAATGTTGWTATATACGTATAATATTTTCTCTTGCAGCTTCCCCGAAGACTGAGATAGTATTTATAGTTATTTAAATTAGGTGTAGGCATAGGCGCAACTAGAGGCCAAACACTAGGGGTGCTAAAATTATGTAGATGAAAGAGGTCCGTGGRGGCTACGCCCCCACACCCCTAAGTACCATTCTTCAATTTTATAATTACTATAACCAATCTTAAATTCACTGTAAAAACATAAGCACACTAATATTTAAGTATCTAAACAGTATAGCATACCTCATAAATACATTAGGTATATKACCTATATATTCATATAATAACATAGTACCTATAAACAAATAAAAATGCCAATGTTACATAACTAATATTTGATACAACCATATCATATAACAATAATCATCATAAATAATTTGTGTTTCCACCAAAAATGCCAAATACCCCCTAGTTGCGCCTATGGGTGTAGGTAGGAGCATTGATTATACGTAGTAATTAGATATTATACAAGGWTGTCTGCAGAAAAATAAACTAGGGGGGGAGGTAAAGTAAAAAATCTCAGTTAATATAGCACATATCTTTTTTTTCGCAAATGATAAAACGATAAATATTAACTAAAATAGATAGAGGGACATGCTTCCCCGTACCCTCACGAGTGCCCTTGTATTTTTATGTATAATCTATTATATTATAGGTACATACATGTTGTATAACTCAAATTTTCCCGTGAAAAAATGAAAAAATATAAAATATAGTACTATATATATAGGCATATAGCCATAAAGGCAGTGGTGTATTTACGGGATAAAGTCCAGGGATCTAGAACCAAAAAAAAAGATAACTTAAGATATTAATATTTTAATTTGATTTTATGTTGTAATATAAAGCAGATGATGTTTGTACAAAAACTATGTTGTATATATTTAAATGTTCTGATAAGAGTTGATGAAAATAAATATGATATATAAGGAATATATTATATTACACGAACCATTTGTTAAAACAACACAAAATTGAAGGAATCATTCAACAAATTTGGAAATCGAAAAACTATTTTATAGTTGCTGTAAATTATTGTAAAGAGTATAAAATTTCAATACTTACGTTTGTCATGTTTTGAATGTATATATTTTGCGTTGAATTCGCAAATAAAAAACTGAGATAAATTCATTTTTTTTTTTAAATTTACGATATCAATTTTCTATTCATAATGTAATCTATATCTATTATCGATTCTATAATCAATATCAATATTCTAATATCAATGCCTTTAAAATGTTAGAATTAAAACAATTATTGGATCCCGATCCCCTTACCCAGGAAAATTTTTAAATACGCCTCTGTATGTAGGTATAACTTGGTTTTGTATCCTAGCTAGGACCTACACGGCTACACCTAACAATCGGTGTTGTATGATACCATAAACTTATTATTTTCAGTAAATAGTTAGTTATTATGCTAACGAGTTAAAGATCTGTATATTTTGCTGTGTTAAAGGTATTATAAGCTATTAAAAAATAATATAAATAATAATATATACGATAAGCTATAGTCGTAAGTAATATTAAAAACAAAACTGATTCACCAGAATAATGAATTAAATCAGTTATAAAACAATTTTGGAAACTTTTTGAATATAAAATAATATAAAATTTAATATTATTATGGTAAGAAAACATATTCCATGCGCCTTTATATACAGTTACAGGGCGAAACAGCGTATATGTCTACTACTGGGCTGTACGACGTTGACTATAAGATCCTTGTAGCTACAAGAACAGGTCGGCTTTACATTTTTTCTAAATCTTCGACGAGCGGCTTTAAAGTCGAAACGACACATGCCATTGTAGCCATTATACTACGTATTGACAAGTTCATCTGTTGCACTATAGATGGACTTTTACAGTGTTATACGCTAAAGGTGAGATTATATTTGGTATTTTTTTTTTTTTTTTGTAAGGAGAACCCGCGGCAACATAGKCCATTGGGTGTGGGGTGGTACGGTAGGGATTATTTTTGTATGTTTGTTTGTAGGTTTTTAATTGGGTAGGGTTGTAACACGTGTTTGTGWAAGTGTGGCAAGGATATGTTGCTAAAAATCCCKGGTGGTCACCCATCCGGGAGCTAGCAATTGCGGCCGGTACGTACGCTCAGTGCGTTTCCGCAGATTGAGCGTACGACCGCGCCTCATCAAGCCACTATATTTGGTATTATATATTACAAAAGTCATCATCATTGTTGTCTTATACAGTTGTCAGCTATACTTATTATATTTATATATACTTAATATACTTGTATTGAGTTTTATTTATTATTTGTAATTAGTTATTATTTTAGATTGGTTTTTAAGTCATGTAAGTGTGTGTGTGTGTTTTTTAAATAAATAACCGTGGTCTGTAAGCATGAAGTTTATTCGAAAAACGCTTCAATTTTAAAATTTAAGATTGATTTATGGTAGCAAATTGGAYTTGAATTTGGTACTTTTAAAACTAGAAAATGTCCAGTAATTTTCATAAGCGTTGAGAAAAACGAAAAAAATTAAAAATAGGCATGTTTTGAATTTTAATTTTTAACCTAGAATCAATTTTGTATTTTCGTAGTAATTCGAAAACAAATAATTGTAAATACATTACATTTTATAAATGTTTATAAATGAACAAATTGAAAAATATCGAAAATATACACTCACAACATTTTTTTTATAAGCRTTTAAATTATAAAATTACCTAAAATTTGGAAACTATTTGGTAGTTATTAGRTATAATATAATTAGGTATTTATATACATTTTTCAAACAATAACAATTTTAGTTGTTTTGTTGAAAATTATCCAAAAACACTATCGTGACTCGTGAGTGCTTGTTGAAACTTTTAAAGCATATTTTTATATTTTGTATACAAAATGACATTTTCAAATGCATTATTTAGGGAAAAAATTGATTAGATTTACTGTATTACTAGGTACCTAATAAGAAATAGTTAAATACATTACTTTAATATCAATAATTTCATAAAATGTAGGTACTTAGTAATATAGGATGACAACTGACTAAATTTTTGTCAAATTTTAAATCATTGGGCAAACGTGACCAAACCTTCGAACAATTATTATTGTACATATTTATGTTATATATTTCTTAAATTTGTTGTTGTAATGTAAAACGTATTATCGTACTGTATTTTTAAAACCTATATAGTTCTTACTTGATTACCATATTGTTATATCAGGTATAATAAAATGTCAAAAAAATGCAATTTTATATACCTATAAGTTTAGATGAGATGATATTATGTCAGAGAAACAAAAAAACAAATATTGACATTTTTTTTTCATTCACGACTTTGTCGGTCTATTTCAGTGTGTGTCTTTGTGGAACGTTAAGTTACCGGGAGATCCTATGTCAATGGTGAACATGTACGTGCAAAGTATGTCACTTGAGATGACAGTTGTATCGTGCAACGTGATCAACGCTGATGGACACTCCAGAGGATTAGTTCTCATGTATTGCGGTTCGACGATAATCCACAGGATTTCCATGCCGGATCCAGTGACTTGCATCACGTTTGGGAAATTTGGACAAGAAGAAAATGCTCTGATCATGATTACTACTAGTGAGTACCTACTAATGGTGAATTGGTGAATTGGGTTATGAATTCAATGATATGCTTATCTATGATTTTTGTTTTGAATTCAAAATAAGTGTGAATATAATTATAAATTTATTTTGTATCGTGCAGTTTTTGGACTGTTTGGTACACATTTTTCTATTTTTAAATGCATTTTATTTTGCAAGCATATTTTATGGTTTTATATGTTTAACTCGCAGTCCTGACGATAAATGATATAATTAATAATTATATTGTATAATWTACGGTATAATTATTAATTATGATATGGGTTATAGCCACACATTACAGCTAATTAATAAGTCATTAGATCTAWTATAGCTATAGGTGTATAATGTTGACTGACTTAAATAATTACAAAAATATTATTAGACGGAAAAGTAGACATAAAACTCTTGAAACGAACAGCGACGTTCGATTTGAGTGTTCGTCCTATGTTGACGGCACACATCCAAGGTAACTTGAACATACCCAAAAGAAGTAATGTATTCATAGAACAGACTTTACGAGAGAGAGAACACTGTAAGGGTAAATAATAAATAAAATATAAATTCGAAATTCAAATGAATCGCTTAATATTTTTTTTTTTCATAGAAATACATATACGAACTCAACAAACATGGCAACTACTGCAAATTGTAGTATCAAACGAACGATTGAATTCGATCAAACAAAAAGTTACAAGCCAATTTTTACACACGTCTGCTCAAGTATAAAATATTTAACAGTAACGATCAGTGGTGTTCGCTGAGGGAATTCAAAAGGGGCTAAATTTTTATAGGAAATTGTGAAAATTCTCAAATAAATTTTTAAATAATTAAAAGTGAAAATGGGAGGTCCTATTTGGAAAACAGAAGTTTATATTGTCGTAGAATCATCCAGAAGTGATATAAAAATTCTCAAGTATTCGAAAATATGGTCTTCAAGTGTATTTAAGCATATTATTCTAAAAACCAGAATTTGAGTATCTWGATATTATGCATAATCCAAACATGAAAGTGTAGGGTGAGAATGCTTAAAAATCACCTCATATACCTATGTTTAATATATTTCTGAAACATTTTAATTGCATTATTGAATATGATAATGTGACATAAATATTATATGTATATGGTTTTTATCAAACATAAAGATAAGTTAGTTCAGCCCCTTTTATCAAATCATACGGATACGCCACTGGTTACAATATAATAATAAAAATATATAATACAGTACTTGCCTATTACATGTACCTACACATGGTAGCAGGACCGCGGATAGGCCAGTCAAGCATTTGAGAAAATCTGGCCACAATGTCACGTTATGATTTTAATGACAACTATGTAACAGTGTATATAGTCAATGAATGTGATGAKGTCGTTATTAATTATTAATAGGTTTTATAATTTGGCTAATATGGGCTAGTAGCAAATTACGGGCCAGTATAGAAAAATATTTCTCGAAGTGCTGAGACTACCCAATCCGGTCTTGCAAGGCAGTCGTATTCGGTAGGAACAGATACTTAAYCATWGCATGTAATTTATATTTTAGCTTTTAGGTTTGGGTCCTCGTTTCAAAATCCGTTTCTTTTTAAAAAATTTGGGTAAAGAACCTTTGATGGGCATCAACGTCGCGTTTTTATATAACGCTCAGTATCATAGTATAGAATCACCTAGCTGCAGGGTAAGCATGAAAATTAAGARGTCGTCATACCAATACATGTGTTGACTGGTMACCGTMTTATTTACGCAATTACGCATCATTATATAACATATTATATCAAAATATCTAAACTTACATTCCAAAGCGGTTCCAATTKCATGTTGAATATTCCAATGGATTGACCTATGATCAAACTTAGATAAAAACATTATCTGTRTATTGTCTTTTTGAGTTTTTACRAYGAGTTAATTTTTAAGCAAGTGATGAATGTGTTAAGTATTTGTATTTAAAAATCATAATTCACTTAAAATTTTGTCCTTAAAAGGTTTTAAATGTATGTTAATATGTAAAATGTATATAGTATATGCTATGTGTGTACTTTATTAGCATATAAGAAGAATTCTTATTTTTATTACGGTAATATTTTAGTGTTTTACTTGAGAGTAAAATATGGCAATATTATTTATTAACGATGAACTATTGTAAAGTTATGYACCTATATTTCAAAGGCAATACAATTTACAATGATCATTTTTTTTTTCATGAAAATCAAACATAATTTTTTTTTAATTGATTAGGGGTATAGCAACCATCTTACTTTTGGTCCTTGGGCTCTTACAAAACTTAATCTAAGCTTGGTATAATGTTATACATTATTGAAGTCCGTGAAGTTAGCATGCGATTTTATAATACATTTAAACCTAAAATTATTAATTTGAACGATGTCAAAAATGTTTGCAAGACAGAGCYAGCTTTACTGGTAGACGAATATTAATAAATTATTTATTAATTATTTACAATAGGTGCCAATAATTGTTCCGGGAACGGAAATCTATTGTGAGACATTCGTTGCTTGTTGCACGTACGGAGGTTCCGACGACCGAGCAATAGATATCATAGTTAACCGAGGAACCAACGTGATATATAGAGCAAAAGTAAACATGCCAGTTTGTGAGTTGATAAGAACATTTGAATACAAAATATATTTATTTATTACAATCAAAACGTTTCCATTTTTATAAAACTTTTACAATAATATTTATGATTAAGACCTTATCATACCCCATGAATTTATATTTAGGTACAAATATCCTATTTTATTCGTTACAAAAGTAATACATTATACGTATTTTTTTACAGTCAATATTCAAACCAATGATCTTGGTGAGGATTTAAACGATATTAAGTCATAGTAAGTAACATTAACATAATTTTTGTTTAAAATTAACATAAGTACTTAGGTAATATTCTAAAATYAGTTCTTCTAATACAAAAAACACATATTTTTTACAGATAGAGTCTCAAATAACTAGTGTTATATGATCTATAAGAGTCTCACTTCGGCATTTTACAAATTTGATTGTGTAATGGAATGGCCAATAATCCGGCTAATGAAATACCGATTGCGTCAGAAAGTGACGTCATGGCCATGGAAAATTCTTGACGCTCCTTCGGAACCTGCAAGCAATAATAAGACGTAGTTTGTTTTCATATATTTTATGTATAGGTACAAAGTAATCATTAAGCATGCCCACCCATTTTACCCTTTATAATGTGCTTATTTAAATTTTGATATTTTGAATTTTTAAGTATAATAGAAGACTATTCTTTCAAATACTTAGTAAATTTTTTATACCATTTAAAAACTCCTCTGGTGATACATACTTTTTTCCATCACCCTTTATTTTTTCTATAAATTGTTAATCAGATGACTATTTTGAACATTTTAATTCATTTAATGAGTAGTTTCTGTGTTATTAAACTTTATTTATCAAGAAACTGGACTTTAATAATGGTTCCATTCAAAATATAAAATTAATTYCATATTTGTAATACTCGGTCAACTTTTATAAATTATATAATTTTAATGAATTTGTACTTATATTGAATACATTAATTTTAAAATCATCATAGCCTTCCTACCTAAGTAGTAATAGTAGGTACGTACCTATATCAAGTTAGTGCTTTAAATTTAATGACTCAGAAAATACTCATTCAAATTTAAATTTACATACTCTCATAAAAACATTTAAAAATATTGTCACTTGATATCATTAAGAGGACGCTACACTCACATGTGTTGTCTCCGTCTTACAAGTGCGTAACATTGCAAAAACTGTTTCACGCGGGAAAGAACCGAGAAAGATACAGTTATAACTAAGAAACGAAATTTTCACCACATAAAAAGGAGAATTTTRTCTGTGCAATATCGTTTTTATTTTTTCGATATCAGACCTACAAAAAAGTTATTCATGTTTAAAAAACACAAAATTTATGTATAAAAAAAAAAAATAAGAATTTTTTTTAGTATAAGTAATATCGAAAAAATAAAAACGATATTGCACAGACMAAATTCTTCTTTTTATGTGGTGAAAATTTCGATTCTTAGYTATAACTGTATCGTCTATCTTTCTCGGTTCTTTCCCGCGCGAAACAATTTTTGCAATGTTACGCACTTGTAAGACGGARACAACACATGCGGGTGTAGCGTCCTCTTAAGGAGAGATTTAAAGTTTAAAGGTGTGGTTAGCATTTGAAAAATTATAAGTTTGATGCAGTACACTCCTTAAATTAAGTATATAAAATATCAAATTGTTTTAAAATAGTCCCTTAAATATCCACATTTAAAAATTCCAAAAATCAGAATTTTWATAAATATATTTTTAAAAGAAAAAAGTGTGCAAGAGGGTTCCGYTTTGCTATACATTAAGTGTCGTATATTTGTAATGGATATGATAAATTTGAATTTAATAAAATAAAATCACATGGTGATGAAAAAACAATTCTGAACAAAAATTTTTGTCAGCCTATATTTCTTGAAGTATATTTTAATAATATTATTGCTATTAAACTGTTAAAGTACCTTATTTCAAAATAAGTAAAATAGTAGGTTGAATTAATTTTTCYCAAAAATATTTAATTTGATTATTTTACAAGTTTCAAGTACTTAACCCAAGAATATATTTTCAAATTATACAAAAATAACTAATTTTTATTTTCCGTTTAGATATTTAACTTTATCTAAGTTTAAAATGAAATATCTATTTACAAAAACTATGTTTGAACTTTGTTTAAATTTTCAATTCTAAACTATAAAAATTAATTATCATATAAACTTTTAACTAGTCACTATAAAGTTATTTACAAATCTAGGGATTTTGATGAAAGTTCTTGAGTATGTTTAATATGTTTAAATTGATATTATAAAATCTTAAGATGAACATTATATTAAGTTTTTTAGTTTTTTGACTTAGCAACAAACTTAGTATCTATAATAATTTTTAAAAACTAACAAGAATTGAAAATTTCTTATGTGTGCCAATAAATAGCCCAAAACGTATCAAAATATTTTAAAATTCTATCATGAATATAAATATTRATGAAACATTTGGTGAAAATGTCTACGATTTTATTCGTTTTTYAATTACCTACGCCAAAAATACGARCTCCCGTTTTCCTTCACTTTTTTTTTGTTTTTCTAATTTTACTTCTTAAATGTATCAACCAGAATTATTTTACCTCCAGAAAAGGTATACTGATGTTAAAAATTGATGCATTATTTCGACTACTTAACATGTACACACACAAAAAAAAATAAACATAATTATAAAACCAATATATTTATCCCTCCACTTAGAATCTAATAAGGGAGTGTGCATGCTTGGTTAATTATCTTGTGTGATATAATAAAATCTTTTATGTAACATAAAATATAACATAAATAAAATGATTTCATACTTTTTTTATGATGTTATGATACGATTTTGCATATGCTCCTCCACCTAATAAACCTTCGAATGCTATCATCGCAAATATAATGAATATATTTGGTGTGAAAGAATATAGTGTTTCGATTAAAAAGTAGACGAGATTGAGGCCCTGAAAATGAAAAATGMATTTAATTGTGTTAATTACAACCACACGTTTGTAGAAATTATTTCAATTATTTTATCTTTCATGATGTGTACAAAACAATGATACCTGCAATATTGTCAGGATCCAAATTTTTTCAATCGGAAACAGGCTCACTGAAGTTCTTGATACGAAAACGCCCAATTGATATATGACTTGGTACCATCTGTATTGCTCTGAATGTGTCAGCCATATTTTTTCAAAATAAACCAACTCAAACTGAAAACCATCAAGTCTGTTAATAGGTATAACATGGATTTTAAACCAAATGTAACGTATATTATGTAGAAAACTTACTAATCCCTGATTGATCAAATACTCGAAGAAATACACTAACCCTAAAGGAATCATAAACTTCAGCAATGTGGGTATGTACGATATCTTATTTGAGAAGGTCTGACTATTTGTACTGGGATCTGAAGAAATGCTAGGCGTCGTTGGAATTTCATCTTTTTTCGGGTGTTCTAATAATAYCCAGAATCTTAAAAAGAATAAATTATTTTTTAATTTTTTAATTTATAAAATCAAATAATTWATAATAAATATGYAAAGTTTCGATTATTTTATTATTGTAACAAACAAAAACCGATAGGTACTAAAACCTGCATCATACATTCATGCATTTATTGTTCAAACTAAGCTAATTCATTATTGTTGATAATAAAAATAGATTATGATTAAACAAATAGGTACTTACGACACACCCATTAAAAATGGTACTGAAAGCATTAAGTACATCGTCGTAGACGGAGATAAATGGAAAACGCCAGTCAATCCCGCATAAGTCAACGCTCCTAATATACCAGCAGCACCCGTTCCAGAAGACCAAGATGTAATTACACTTCTGTAATATAAATATTTTTATAAAAAATAAAATCGTATTTAGCCGTTTAAAAAAAAATAACATAGTTTCTGTTGTTCCGTCAACATTTTTTCTGCAAAAACACGTTTCTACGCGTAATCAAATTATTGCATAGAAAACAAATATAAATATAGAAATGTTAACATATAAAACCGAATCTATATTTATGCACTGATGACCGAATACTTATAGTCATGAATTTTTATGACATTTTAATAATCATAGATAGTAAAATCTCGATAGTTGGGAATGCCAGCAGTTAATCAAAACACAAATAAAAGAAATCGATTTTTGTGATCAGGAATATTATATTAGAATTAATGTATTGATTTATTAACCATTAACGTATTATTATACATGTTAGGTGTACATCAGCTAGTCAGTTAGTGTAATAACTCAATTCAGATTCTTAGGTTATTATGACATATCTTCATTGCAGTTTGATAGTAGTGAAAAATTAAAACCATTCACTCACTTACATAAATAGAAAGTTCAGAAATGTAAGTTTTTTTTGCATATCTGAGAATGTTTCAGTAATTAGAGGGTATTCAGATTCTTTTAGCATAATGGGATTTGAATTTAAGGAGTTCGATGTTGGCAATTTTCTCAGTRTATAGTCATGCTGTAGATGTGTGCATAGTAAGTGATTATTAGTGTATATTATAATTATTTATTTATTTGATTATTTTTTACTACCATTACAATCAGAGTAGTTGAATGCACTTTTGTACCTGAGTTTTGTTGGGTTATCCATGTATCCATATTTGTTTATAAAAATATAAAAATAATATTGTTATGTTTATTTATAATATATCTCTTGGTGGTTTTGCCAGAGACTTTATGCAAATATACAGGCAATCTAATTATTTTTTTCTCTTAAGTTATAATACCTAAGAATGTGATACATTTTTAAAATTATTATTATTTAGACTATATTTTTAGCCTATTTGGCTATTTATATATTAAAGGTAGCACAATATTTTACTTTATAATATGTTCATACCGTTCATAATTGGTCATGTAAGACAATAGTGTTGATTCTCCTAGACCTGAAGCCATGGAAGTTAGTGCTACGCCGATGGCGGCAACAAGTTCAGTATTCGCTTTTGCTACAGTTAAAAAACTAGCGATTGTCAGTGCAATACACAACGATAGTCTACGGCTGTAAAAATAATATTTCTTATAGCATCAAAAATGTTTTAGCAAGGCAAAAAAAGTTAATGGTATATTTTAATTGAGTTAAATTAAGTTGATAGAATTTTTTTTAACCATTTGGTTAAAATAGTTAATACTAACTTTATATGTAACTGAAAAAATGGTGAAAAAATCTTGATTATCAGTCCAGGCATAATATCGGCCAAAAGTATAACGCCTGTYGACAAATGGTTACACTCTCTTTTGAATACATCTTGAGTGAAGCTAATGCTGACAGTCTTTAAAGAAATTTAATGATAATTATACAAATGCAAATTTAAAAATATTAAAAAGTTATTTTTTTACTTCATAACTAAATATTTATATCAACATAATRAAAAATAAATACATATTATTATTGTTTTGAAATCATCAATCATTGAATAGCAGAGTGCATTGAAAGCAAAATTCGATCATTTTTTTATGAACGTTTTAGTATACACTTAATATAAATTGTAATATTTGGTCTAAAAGTTTGTAACGTCACAGAATTTTAGGCCTTTTTAATATCACYAATATAATCCTCAGACACACTTTATCCCATAATTCACATACCTATAGGTCTGTGACTATAATATTAGTTTAAAGGTTGGTTTTCTTAAAGCAGTTGAGGGCTTTTTTGTATTTAGTGATTGCAGTTCTGAAATCTTCATTCAACCATGGTACTGTTTTTTTGTTGAGGGGGTTATTAGATTTTCCGATTTCTATATTAGCCGTCTTTATTATTAGTGTTGATAATTTGTTTATCAGTTTATCAATATAGGTTTGGTTTATGGATGGAGTATGTTCATTGAAAAGATCTAATTGGTTTTCTGTGATGTACTGGTCTACTAGTCGACAAGACTGGAGAATAGATCCCAGTTTGGTGAATTGAGTTTCCATTTATTTATAGGATCTGATTTAGAAGGTTGATGAAAAAGTTATAACTGTATAGGCCAGTGGTCGCTGCCATTATAGGCTGGTAGGGTGGTAAATTCAATACTTGGGGCAATGCTTGTACTTGCTATATATAAATAATAATAAAATATAATGTATATATAAACAGAAATAACAATTTCTGATAGATTTCCGTTAACTGCGTTATGTCTAGTATGGCTACCATTATTTTGGAATATTATGTTCGGTTCTTCGAACATTTTCTCTACTATTTTTCTTCTACTACCTGTGTAGGAGCCGGGAGGGGCTGCATGGTATATTTCGACTGTTAAAGTCACCAATCAATATAAAGGGTTTGGGTAGTTTGGAAGTAATGTGAATAAGGTCACGAAAGCTGAAGTTGGTGCTATCAGGGAGATAAATGTTACATATGCATATTTAGATTTGAAGTTTTATTGAAACTGTTATGACTTCACGATGTGTTTGAAGATTTACTTGATAGTATAATATGTTGTTTTTTATGAGTATAGCGACGCCGCCTCTCGCTCTAATAGGGTTTGCTCGGTTCTTACGATAACTAATATAGTTTTTTAAGTGTGCGGTTTGTCCCACTTTCAGATTGGTTTCTTTAAGGCATAGTACACTGGGTTGTAGGTTGAAAAGGATAGATTTCATAAGAAATTTAATTAAATTAAAAATTATATATACAATAAACAGGTACCTAAGTGTAGGTACGTTATAGGTACTTAAGGCAATATTTATTTTTATTATTACATCTACCTAAGTGATATTTTTATAACTTATATAGGTACAAGGTAAAAAAAGTCACGAGTTTCAAAAAATTATTTTACCTTTAGGTATAAAATAATAATGGACTAATACATAATCTACTAATCACCTAGTTAATTCTAAAAAATAGCTCTGGAAAATGCTGAATTTATTAGCTTTACATTTTTTTTTTTTTTAATATTTACATTTTTTCATATCATACCTAGGTAATTAGTAAAAAATCTTAAGGACTTAAACTCAAGTAAGTTTCTTCATTTTTATGTCGTTTTCTCTGTTTTGCAAATAGGTATCAATATTAAACAATGGCTACAAATATATTAGAAATTTAGAAATAACATTATTTAATTTATGTATTATTTATTTATATTTATGTATTTCTTAGATAAAAAAAGTACGCGCTAATTGATATCTTATACTACCTATATATTAGTATAACACTTTCGAAGAAATATTATATTTTGTGTCTTTTATATTTACTTCGTTGCCTCCCGGCGCAGCGGAATTGGATTTTAAAATGTCATGAGCACTACTTAACATCACAACGTATCCAAAATTATTGCACAGACCCAAGATCCAGAACGACGCCAAAGTCAAAACGTTTGACTTCACCTGGACGTCTGCCATCCYGCGCTGTATAGATGTGTTCCGGCGTATATRAAATCTATTTATCGTTCGGCGTGGAAGTCATTCGCGATCGTCTAAAACTGTCGTAAACGAATTAAACTTATAATCATTCAATCAACGAACTGCGGGTGTGGTGGTTGCCTAATTATTGGACTGTGCATACACACAATGTCACCGTACGTCTGCACATAATATAATAATATTATGATGTGTAAACGTCGTTGGTATGAGTACGAAAAATCMTAAACGAAGATGGTCATGGCAAGGTTTGGTAATTTTTATGGAACAAGGACAAGGCAAACCAGCCGATTGAAAAGCGTTGAACTGAATTTGAATGTCCAGAATGCATAATAAGCATACTTTAGTGTGTTCAAAATTGTATAACCACTTATAGGTACCTCATAGATATTAATATTTTTTGGTAAACGAACAAATATTTACCGAATTAATTAGCGTAAAAACATTTAAACATTATAATATTATAAACTGTGTAGTTTATCTAGAAATTAAATTAATTATTATAATTAATAAAGTKGCTTTAATATCCAACCACAAATTTTTACGTAGGTATACCTAGTCAAACCTAACCAAAATTAATTTTAATCAAAATGAGTKTTCTATAAGTTGTACAAGCAATAATTATTATCTCAACATAATATAGATAAGTTCTAATCAGTCATTAAAATGTCAATTTTTATGCTAGATGAGTGAGTTATACCGACGTTGTGATTTAAGTAAGACGAACAATAGTCAGTTATAAAATTATAAAAATTAAATTTCGTCTATCATTTTATTTTTATTTTTTTATAGATACAAAAAATAATATTATATAGCATACCTGTGAAAACGTTAAGGTTCTTCTACACTACATTCCAGAATCCACTTAAAAATATCATCAATTCATCAAAATTTACGATACAAGATGTATATTATATTGAACTGTATTTCAAAATGTGTAAGAATTACATTTTAATTGCCTTTTAAAGACGTACATTTATTTGTAACTCTTACGATTAGCGATTTAATATTAAAAACGTTTGAATATAATGTTTGTGTTTATCCGACTGCAAATAATCGCTATAAATATGTACCTATCGGTATAGTAAGAATGTAATATCTGAAAGAAAAAATAGGCTAAACATTGTACTAAATTAATAGGTAAGTCGCCGCCTATATAAATCACTGGTRAACACATTTTATTCGAAAATCATTCAATAATTAGCAAGAAAACAATTTTTGAAATAGTTGAATATTAAGACACTTAGATAATTTACTTACGTCTAACGATAGTAGAGAGTATACCTACGTACTAGAGGTATTCGGTGCAGTAGGAAGATATCAAATCAATAGTGAATAATTATAGTGAGTACCTATAGGTAGGTACTTGAATTGAAATGTGACGTTATGACTAATGAAGACTATAACAACAATAATTTTAAATCCAACTTAGATAAATCATTTAAATTTTAAGCTCGAAATCAATAGCTTTTTACATAGGTTACGATGTTACATATATGCGTATACACTATACACTACAAAATGAAGTGTTAATTTATACATAATATATCAACTATCAAGTATACATTTATAATCTACTATGTAATGATCTTTATAGTAATCACTAATCAATAATCATATTATACTTTATCTGAGTGAGAGTGACTGAGTGGTAAGTGGTAATTATATTATAATCTACAAGTATAATTATTATTATAATTTGTGAATAGTTGTTACTATTTGATTTATCGCTTCCTAGAATTGAGTTATTATAATTTCAAGACGAAGCTACTAATACATAACAACATAATTATTTATTTATTCAATCGATTCATTAATACCTCTGTGCTATATCCATACTATTATAATAAACAGTGTTCAAATATAATGATTAATAGTGATATTATAGAGTGGTTAAAATGTATACTTAATATTAAAATATATATATTATAATAAATTATAAAAGTTTCATTCATTCAAATACCTAAATACATAGGTAATTAATAAAATTTTAACCTTAAGTATAATTTATCTATATTAATTTAAAAAAATATGTTATTGTTGGTTATAGGTAAGTGAGTAGAATAACAAAAAGTTTACTAATAATTAAAATAAAGTCGATAATCTGAATATAGAATGCGTTTAGAACTAACGACTATTAAACTTATAACACTTATAATTTACATAGTTTATTTAATGCGTGTTTTGGTTTTTAAGTATTTTTTAATACCTTCTTACTGAAAACTGAAGTTTTTATATCACGCAGATGAGTGGAGACAAAAACCAAAAATCAAGTATTTTAACAATGATGAATTTGTATCATGCTCAAAACTTTATTTAGGAACGTTACATATAGGTATCACCGAAATGGCGAAATATATRAAAACTTTTACGTGCCYAAGTTAGATGATAAAAAAATATTTACCTTTTTCATAACTCTAATATATTTATAATATTATTTTATATATCAATGGATATTTAAAGCTGAACTATTGAGGTGGATTATTATTGTAATATAGATTTAAAAATAATCCTGAATAAGAGTAGGCTACTTACTTATCATATTATACAAATAAATAGGAACGAAATAAATTTAAGGATTAACAGTAAAGTTTAAAAGATTAAAAACTATACTTATACATATTTGTATTTGGTGAACATTATGTACCTAATATTACGATTTCAAGAAGGTATCTGTATACAAAAAGTCGATATTTTAGTACCTAAGTTTTAATTATGTTATAGCTATACTTAGCGAAATAAAACATTAAAAATAAATAATTATAAATATAAGTCCCTACATCTAATAATTATTCACAAATGTAACATTGGCCACYACACAAGGTGAGAGGAAGCTGTTGGGCCTGGAGTAAATGCAGGAGCCCGTTGAAATGAATTTGTAACTTTTAAAGATTATAATCGACATATTTACTATGTAGAAAATAATATTTTATAGGGCCCGTAAAAACACATTTYAGTACAGAGTAAAAAAATTTGATGTGGGGGGTTGGTTTGGGTGTAACCTTTAATTAATGTTAATATATATTTCAAGGCGAAGTCTTTACATATTTCTTTTAAATTTATTTAGTAAGTTGTTATAAACAATATTATGTAGTAGGTATGTTGTATGTACAATGTACTTAATATAATATAGTACATACCATTGATTATATACATATTTACTACCTATATATAATTAATGACAGCAGGTRAATAGTACATACTCGGGGCCGATTCATGGTGAGCACTTTATAAATAGGGAGCTGCCATTTTCAAAACAGTGATATCATTATTTTAGGGACGGTGAAATTTGATTTGGCTCGTGTTCTATTCTCTATTGAGCCAGCTCTGTGCCTACATAATATACTTACTAATTATGTATTAAAATATTAAATATTTAAGAAGTGTTAGGTAACCACTTAAAGTAAAATTCTAGATAAGTTCATCAAACCAAGGATGTTGCTCAATGAACCATACTCATGCATACTTAAACAATATTTACCTAGTTAAAAATCATTTTTCATGTGAGCACCTAGGTATATACAATTACCTATATATCATAACTTAATTAAAATGTAATATGTTATATACAAAAATATGCATAAAATGCGAATTATAATTTTAAATGAATCTTAAAAAAAAATATTCGTCTGTGGTTGTGGCAATTAACACATGCATATCGGTAGGTAGATCATTTTTATATATGCGCAAACAAGGGTTAATTGGAGGATATGCCCCCCCACTCCAATCACAAATGCACTTGTCTATGGTCATTATCGCTGATATTACATAAGTATCACAGATCCCTAAGCATATATACTCTTAAAGTGGTTTTGTATGAATATTTATAATTTATTCATGAAGGTAGCCGGTAAGTATTGAGGAAAAAAAAACTGGAAATATTAATAAACATGCGGTCGTAGCAGCCTCGTATACATATAAGTAGTTACACATAAAAAAACAAACCTATATAGTTGTTCATTAATACAGGTTTGAACTTAAAACGTTTACTGGAACAAATTAAAATTTGTCTGATCTTGTGATTCATACCTTATACCTATATAATATATTATTTATGTATCTAATAGTCTAATATATCTATACATTATTAAAATATTATACGTATATGTAGGTAAGCGGTGAAATTCAAAAAACATCGATTTTAAAATGGGGGAATTATTGATTCCGCCGAAACTACCTGTTTAGAAAAAAGGTTTGTATCGATTCCGCCGGCTACTGTTAATATTATTTACATATTGATTCCGCCGGACACTGTTTATCCCCTCCCCCCCCCTTGTATATGTATTTTATATAGTACATAATACAAATAAATAAAATAATAATTGTATAATTCAAAAATAAAATGTGTGAATAAATGATAAAATATTAAAATGTATATAGGTAATATGTACTATAGTCTGAATTGTATAGTCTTGTATATTATGTAAGACTGTAATTTTAAAAATACATTTACAAGGGCGGAATAAACAGTATCTGGCGGAATTAATATGTAAATAATATTAACAGTAGGTAGCCGGC